ACTAATGGAAAAGCCTTGGAACTGGGCTGAGTCGAGTCCAGTCGGGCCGTACTGTCACTAATGGAAAAGCCTTGGAACTGGGCTGAGTCGAGTCCAGTCGGGCCGTACTGTCACTAATGGAAAAGCCTTGGAACTGGGCTGAGTCGAGTCCAGTCGGGCCGTACTGTCACTAATGGAAAAGCCTTGGAACTGGGCTGAGTCGAGTCCAGTCGGGCCGTACTGTCACTAATGGAAAAGCCTTGGAACTGGGCTGAGTCGAGTCCAGTCGGGCCGTACTGTTACTAATGGAAAAGCCTCGGAACTGGGCTGAGGCGAGTCCAGTCGGGCCGTACTGTTACTAATGGAAAAGCCTTGGAACTGGGCTGAGATGGAAAAGGGGCAAATTTAAGCCCCGAAGAAGATGATGATGATGATGGATGGATAAACTGTAGCTAGAAGCTAAAAATAGTATAAGATGACAACAAAAAGCAGCAGCTGAAGCAGATTGAAAGAGAACAAAGTCTGAAGTAATAAAAAATGAGCTGAATGACTTTCTATGGGGAAATATTTGTAAATAAAGTGAAATATTTAGAAAAGTATAAGTTACTAAATTCAATACTGACAGCACCCCTTTCCTGAACGAGTTCAACATTTCATGAACTTGTTAGATATTTATCTAGACTGACCCTGAGTTTTTGATCTGCTCTGAGACGGGATTATAATGAAATTATAATCCGGTTCTGACTGGTTTAAACAAGGCTAGCCACTCTAAAGAGAGTCTCCCAGGGATTCAATATCTGTCAAGGAATAGTTTATTTTGTGTGCTCATCACGTAGAAAGGCTTTTGAAGCACCGTCTCATTTTTCCGTACACGTCCAACCACATAAGATCCGTTGAGATCACACTTAGTCACTCCCCCTCACACACCGACAGGTTGTGCTCCCCTTCTGCGAAGGAGGAGTCTAGGGCCTAAAAATCTGTAACGCGATGAGACATCAGCCCTTCCGGCTCCTGATCTCGCATCGTGCACCGGACTGGCCAGCGCTGTAGACTGTAACCTTTCCCTGCCTTGATTTTAATACAACTGGTAAAACTGAACTGACGTTTCCTTGAGTTATTAATAGTATGAGTTGGCACTTCTGAGGGTGGTCTGAGCTGTGGGACAGCGTGACCTGGGGGGTGGACCTGGGGTCCGATGAGGCCTGAGGCCCACAGCTAGCTGCAGTGACCCGGGACCCGCGTCCGGCTCCCGTTGTAACAAAAGTGAACGAGTCCAAAGAGTGCATCAGCATTAGTTAAATTAGGGAGGAAACCACGAGTGTGAACTGAGAACAGAAGAACTCACAGCCTGATGAGGAACGTGTGGCTGACTTCTGTCAGAACCTCCTTCTCGTTGTGGACGTGCTGCTCCTGCTTCAGGCGGATCACGTCAGAAATCTTCATCTGCTTCAGAGCAAAGAAGGCTTTACTCTTCTTGTCTTTGACCAGGAAGACTCGGCCGAACGTCCCCGTACCTTGAGGGGAGACGGAGGGGGACACCGTCAGTCATAATGTTACATGTTCACCTTTAGGACACCGTTATACCTTAGCATGTAATCATCCGAGACATGTCGTCTGTCAAACTGCAACACATCTGTATACATGTGGCTACTTAAACATCTGGACAGAAGTCAGAAGTATGGTTAAGCTGGGACTCCTTGGCTCTGGAAGGACTGGGGCTAACAGGAAAAACAATCCATCTCCAGCTTAGATGAGTCCAGTAAGATAAGTGACAGCATTCAGGCTTTTTCTTGTTGCCAAGGCAACAAGGAACCAATGTCAGACTTAAACAATGCAAGACCAAGAATATGTTACTAAACTACTAAGAGGAAATACAAGCTGAAAGCTGAAGAACAGCTGAATTTTCTTCAGTTGGTAAGTTCAAACAAATAAAACTTAAACGCTTGAATTTGGTCAAACTACAGCTAAAACTTAATATAACCAACTGTAGCCAGAAGTTTCACTGAGCAGAATACTCTAAATGTTCATAAAATTAGCTAAATAGTAGCTAACAGCTAAGATGAGCAAAGCAGCAGATAAAGAATAAAATGAGCAATAAAGTAGCCGTCACTCAAAGAAGCAGAACTGTAGCTCAAAGATAAAACAAGCAAAATAGAAACTAAAAGCTACGCTTGGCAAACCAATAGCTAAAGCTTAGAATTAGCCAAAAAAGTAGCTACAACTTGAAATTAGCTAGTCTACCTCAACAAAATAATAGCTAATAATGACAACAAGCAAAAATTGTAACTAAAAGTAGGCCTGTCACGATAACAAATTTGCTTGGCGATTAATTGTCTCAGTATTTATTGCGATAAACGATAATATCGTTTGAAATTTGACAATAATTAGTAATTAATGTTAAATTTAGGAAGAAATTTTGGTTTTATTTTGAGTGTAGTACCTTTTTTTGACCACTGGATGACAGTATACGACTGCTTGAACCGAAGGATGGATAGTGAGGGAGCGAGCAGCGTGTCTCTAAGAAAAATGGGAGTCAGGCCCCTTGACGTGACATGGGCCGTCTCTCGTTGCTGTTTTTCAATTCTCAAAATGGCGGACGCTCAGTGTGGTTTGAGCACTTTAGCATAGTATTGTTCACACAAAGCTTTTAATTTTAAAACAATCAGTAAACAAGTCTTCAGCTTCTTTTTGCAGACAAACACATCCGATGGGTATGAAAGTAGCAGCTTATGCGGAAGAAAATGTCCCCAGGGCATCATAAAGTTACATGGTTTGTATATTTATCAAGACGTTAAGAACTTTTACAACTTGAAGCTTCCACATGATCATCAACTTTATTAGGACCGAATGGCTCAACAGTGCCCCCAAGTGGAATTCAACAGGACATTCTCATCTAAGCTCTCTCTGATTCGTACAAAATAGTTTGAAGAATTTCTTAAAGAGAAGAAATTACCTGACTCCATGACTCGAGCAATTGTTACAGCTACATAAAAAGGACAAAGACCTCTGTGACTGCGGCTCTTACAGACCAGTTACTTTGTTGAGACTACAAACTTCTTACTAAAGTATTATCCAGGCGTCTTGAGGCAATTGTTCCCAAAATTATTGATCCAGATCAAACCAGCTTTATACCTGCTCGACAGTCATTTTACAACATGCGGCCATTATTTAAATATATATATATATATATATATTAGCCTGGGCTAAAGACAAAAAAGGACTGGACTGCTGCTGAGTGGTCCAAAGTTCTGTTCGCGTATGACTGTAAATTTTGCATTTCTTTTGTAATCCAAGGTCCCAGAGTCTGGAGGAAGAGGAGAGACACAGAATCCACGTTGCTTAAGGTCCAGAGTCAAGTTTCCAGTCAGTGATGGTTTGGGGCCATGTCCTCTGCTGGTGTTGGTCCACTGGGTTTTCTGAGGTCCAAGGTCAACGCAGCATCTACCAGGAAGTTTTACAGACTTCCTGCTGCTGACCAACTTTATGGAGATGCACATTTCATTTTCCAACTGGACTTGGCACCTGCACACCGTGCCAAAGATACCAGTACCTGGTTTAAGGACCATGGTGTCCCTGTTCTTAATTGGCCAGCAATCTCTCCTGATCCCAACCCCATAGAAGATCTATGGAGTATTGTGAAGAGGAAGATGTGATACACCAGAACCAACAATTGAGAAGAGCTGAAGGCCACGATCAGAGCAACCTGGACTCAGAACACCTGAGCAGAGACACAGACTGGTCCACTCCATGACACGATGCAGGGGCGGCTGTGGCTGAGTGGTTAGAGCAGTCGTGCTCCAATGCGAGAGTTGGGGGTTCGAATCCACCAGCAGTCACATGTTGAAGTGTCCCTGGGCAAGACACCGACCCCCTCATAGTCTCTGATGTGTGTCCCATCAGTGTCTGAATGTGATAAAGCTCTGATTAGTCTCTTTAGAATGATTTGTTCAATTATCTTTGTAGAGATCTAGTATAGAGCTGTATGAATGGGTCAATGAGGCACAGATTGTTGTAAAGAACTTTGAGTATCTTGATCAGATAGAAAGGAGCTGTATAAGTACAGTCCATGTACCATTTACTGCAGTAATCCAGGCAAAAGGAGCAACAACTAAGTATTGGTGCTGAACATGTTCATACTTTTCAGTTGTCCAACGTTTCTAAAAATCCTTTTTTTAGTCTCAAGTAATATTGTAATTTTCTGAGATACTGAATTTGTGGTTTTCATTAGTTGTCAGTTACAATCATCAACATTAAAAGAAATAAACATTTAAAATACATCAGTCTGTGTGTAATGAATGAATATAATGTCCAAGTTTCACTTTCTGAATGGAATTACTGAAATAAATCAGCTTTTCCATGATGTTCTAATTTGATGAGCAGCACCTGTACGTAGTGCAGTTTGGACCTGCACAGAACAACCCCGGTGCCTATAATGACACTGGTTCAGTGGGGAATCGTGACTGGTTCGCACCCATTTGGTCCAAACTGGTGACTGCCGTGAAGGTTGCAAACTGGGGATGCTGAGTTTGTGTGACTCATTGTGTGCATGCTTCAGTTTCATGACAATCAACCAGCAGATGAAGAGCTTTACACGTCTTGTTTCATCAGACAAAATGGGTGTGCAGATTAGATTTTCACGCAGCGCTCATAAGCTCGGAGCCTGTATGAGCGCTGAAGCCATTAGGCCGACCTCGGATGCTCCGAGTGCTTTAATGCACATTACTGGGTGTGATTTCCACCGTACAGATCATAAATTAGACAGAACCTAAAAATACACTCCTATTTATAGACGTGTTTCAGCGGCATCATGGGCGCCACACTTCTTGTTTTACTGCAAGCACCACAGGAGCCGGGGGTCCGGATGTAGGCCCCCATGTTCCACCTCAAATGTGCTCTTTAGATGGTGGATTAAGAGAATATCAACGATTAGCATAGCCATCATTTTATAATTATAAATTAATATAACGTATAAGTTGTTTACTGGCATGGACGCATTCGTTTGGACCCTTTGATTAAACAAACAAAAAACACAGTAAACCCTGAATTAAGTTAAAACTGACAAAAGTAATAAAACAAAAAGGATTAATAACAATCGTCAGATGAAAAATCAGTCACAGTTTTAAGGTTGGTTCAACAGAACTATTAAAAAAGTAAATTCATAAGTGGCCTGGACATACAGCTGTCATTTCTAACCCGGAGCCCGGCCCGACTCGGATCAGGGCCGGCCGGGTCATAATAATATGTGCGTGTCGGGCTATTGGTTGCGTCAGCAGCACATCCAATTATATGGCAACATGGCTTGCCATATTTTGGATCGTCAGCGGCACGCGTCTGCTGACGATCCAATTATATGGCAACATGACTTGCCATATAGGTACCAGCTGGACATGGTCATTTGACCGTGCGCTGACCGGCCTTGAAAGAGTAAAAAAAACAACAAGTTCAGTTAAAGTAACGAAAGACTTTGAAACAAATGAGACATTTTTGTTCTTTCCTTTAGAACAGGGCCGCCCCAAACTTTTTCTCTGAAAGGGCCAAATTTATTTTATTCAACATTTATTCAATATTTTGGTGAATCTAAGGTTTGAGAACTGTTTCTGTAAAAAATCCTAATGATGGTTTCATAATTTTTCAGAGATGCTTAGTTAAAATTTAGGGGTGCTCAAGAAGGGTGTGTGTGAGGGGCACCTACATGATGCTCAGCTTTGTCAAAGGAAACATTCAGCAGCAAGAAACTGCTGCATTCATTTTAAAAAATGAATGCACACAGTCACTCCAGCTGTGTAGTGTCATTACAGTAGTCATTGGGCCAACTTTCCATCTAACATTAAACCTGGAATGACTGAGTGTAAACACATTGAGGAAACTTCAATATAGTAGTGAGGACAGCTTGGTGGGCCAACTTTGGCCCGCGGGCCCCACGTTGGGCGCCCCTGCTTTAGAAGGCGGTGCTGTAATTTAAAAAAGATTCCGCTGCACTCAGCGGGCGCTAGAGCTGGGCGATATATCAATATTTTTTAAATATCTTCTTTCTTTTTTGCGATATAAGTTGAGACTATGTCGATATAAAACGTGTCGTAGAGTGCTGTATGAATGTGTGTACTAAATGGTAAATGGACTGTACTTATATAGCACCTTTCTATCTTGTCAAGACTCAAAGCGCTTTACACTACAATCTGTGTTCTCATTTAAGCCCCCAGTATACTCCCGCGTACGTCCGTCCATGCGTACGTACGTGCGTATTGTCCACAGAGGGTTCGGACTTCATACTCGAGCGTACACCCTGAGCGGCTGCAGAGCAGCTCCGCAGACAAGGGGCGTTTACCTTGGAAACAAATTGAGGTCGCTGATTGGTCATTTGCTGACACGCCTACTGGATTGATTGACAGGTCGGGGGAAAAAATCGAGCGCTGGCAGCCTCAGCTGCAGCGATGTTCTGTGTTTATATGTTGTTAATAAAAAGATCCAAAAATAATAAAAAAAAAAAACAGGGAGCGCTGGCCCTGCAGCCCACACATCAGACCAGCCCACCAGGAAATCTCCAGACCCTCCCGCAGCCACGCTGGACCCGAGTTTAATTCGCTCGTGACAAATTCCTTCATTTCTCTCCATTTCAGTCATGGCGTCAACGGAGGAGGAAGAGATCACTGCCTCTTGGCAACAAAACAAAAGAAAAGGCCAGATCAGGGATGAAGAAGAGGAATTTAATGCATTGGTGTCGCATACAAAACAGTCCGTCGCCGGGCAGTTTATTGTGCGACACGTATACGCTGTCGTAAAAATTTAGCTTTGTACAGACATGCCCTGCAGGGGTACCCGTGTACGTCCGTGAGGATACTGGGGACTGTACCCATTCATACAGCTCTCTACTAGATCTCTACAAAGATAATTGAACAAATTATTCTAAAAAGATTAATCAGAGCTTTATCACATTCATACACTGATGGGACACACACTGGAGGCAAGGAGGGGTTCAGTGTCTTGCCCAGGGACACTTCAGCATGTGACTGCTGGTGGAATCGAACCCCCAACTCTCACATTGGAGGACGACTGCGCTAACCACTCAGCCACAGCCGCCCGTAGAGTCCTGTATGAACGTGTGTGTAGAAGAGTGCTGTATGAATTAGGGCTGGGCCATATCACATCGTTCACGATAATACCGATAAAAAAAGCTTGCCCGGGCAAATAAATGATAGCATAACATGCTAATTTCATGACGTAATATGTCAGGGCGCCCCGCCCCTTTAACGGAACCGAGCGCGATCAACGACCAAACCGAACTGCACACACCCCCTCCACCTGTCGGTACTGGGTAACGCTAATAAGCTGTGCACAATACTAGCTAGCTGAAATGCTAAAAACAAACAACGTGCAACTCAGCTGTCTCTTCCACAGTCCATGGAGCAAGAACAGAGTCAGGTGATCAGAGACAGTCATGTGATCAGAGACAGAGTCA